GTTTGGTGCTGCTTAGTGTCCAGTCCTGACTCAAATCTTTGTAGCCGGCGCTTGCTCCAGCGTGTCAGAATTAAACGTAGCTATTAACATTAAATCGCTATGGTTAAATCCCACTCATTGCAAATGTGAGCACTTCAGTCAGTTTTGCGTTAGTCTGCAGCAGTAGTGTTTTTGTGTGAAGCAGCTTAACTCCGGATAGTTGCTTATGAGGGAAGTGCGTTTTCAGCAGACTGGGTGGTCTGTAGAGAGGCTGGTGGATAACTCGTCTAGCTAGTCACATCATTCTTCTTTGAGTCACGTTGGATTGTTTTCGAATCATAAACATTTTAAACAACATGCTTGGGCAAACAAGGGGAAACTTCCAAAAATTACATTCAGTGATGTCTGATAGTTGACGGATCGCCTGCGTTTGGCCTTTTTATTTGCTAGGATTACTCTAATAAAGCCGATTCGCAGCTGCTTTGGTAAATCCTAGTCATGCACCACTAGTCTTTTGGGAGATTCTTCTGAAATTGAGTGACGTTAGTCGTGTGTCTTGGAAATGCTCCTACAAAGTTCAGGTCTTGGCTGCGAATGCTCAGTACCGCTTAGAGCTGAAAACATATTAAACATATTTTCACTGGTAAATAGCTTAGACTGATGCAATGGTTTTGTACCTTTTCCTCAGAAATGGCTCCTCGTAAGGGTAAGGAAAAGAAGGAAGAACAGGTGATCAGCCTGGGACCTCAGGTCGCCGAGGGTGAAAATGTCTTTGGAGTCTGCCACATTTTCGCTTCCTTCAACGATACCTTCGTTCATGTCACCGACCTGTCGGGAAAGTAAGTGTTTTGCACGGATTTTACCTCTTCTGAGACAAGACCTCTATTCTCAAAAGTTACCATCCTCCCGATGAGACGTGAAACTGAGGTCCTGACTCTCTGTGGTCATTAAAAATCCCAGTGCGTTTCTCGAAAAGAGTAGGGGTGTTACTCCGGTGTCCTGGTCTAATTTCCTATTGGCCTTTATCAATCATGACCTCCTAATAATCCCCTTCTATGAACTGGGTTTATCACTCTGTTCTCCTCCCCACTGATAGCTGATGTGTGGGGAGTGTACTCCAGGTGAGGCTGCACACTGATAGTGGTGGAGATGAGTCCCATTACCTGTGAAGTGCATTGAGTGGAGTGTCCATATAAGCGCTTTATAAGTGTAAGGAACTATTAGTTCTTAGTATTAAGAGTTTGTTGCCAGTGAGCTGCAGAAACAAAGGCAAAATAAGATTTTCTTTGAGAAAAGTGCAGTAGTAACTTCAGCAGGCCTGATCCTCTCCCCCATCAGTGTTGGATCTGTTCACTGACACTGCACTGTTCTTCCAGGGAGACGATCTGCCGTGTGACGGGTGGTATGAAGGTGAAGGCCGACAGAGACGAGTCTTCTCCCTATGCTGCTATGCTGGCAGCTCAGGATGTGGCCCAGAGGTGCAAGGAGCTGGGGATCACTGCCCTGCACATCAAGCTGCGTGCCACTGGAGGGAACAGGCAAGTTGGCGTGCATGATCTTTGTGCCTTTTCCATTTGTATATCTGCATGTTGTTTTTCCCTCATCAAATACCTATTAAGCAATTGAGGCACTTTCTTACTGATTAGTCCAGAGTTTTAATCTTATTTAGTAGTTTTGACTTTTGTTGGCAGGAACTGTGCTCCTTGTTCACAAAAAATATGGTTGCAGACGCACATAAGCTGAGACTTGGCTTATGCCAATGAGACGTGCGAACATTAGTGAAGGTGCCATCCTGGTCTTACTATTGGAATGCACTGTCACTAAGGTCTGGTGTACTGTCTGAAGCACAATTTACAGGGTCCACCAGCTGCATCCAGTTCCCTGACAATTCCGTGGTTTGTGGAAGTATGAATACATAGATCTATCCGTGAAGATACAGCTTTAGACTATTAAAATGGAAATTACCCTGTGATCCCAGAGAGCTTTGTGCATAACAGAGTTAACTGAGTGAAATTGTTCTTACTGTTGCAGAACTAAGACTCCAGGACCTGGTGCACAGTCTGCCCTCAGAGCTCTGGCTCGTTCTGGCATGAAGATCGGCCGTATCGGTAAGACACTGAATTATTTAAATAACCTAAGCAAGAATGCTTACATTTTTTTGCAATGCATGCAATGGCGATTTTTATTCCCAGGGTTTCTGAAGCTGATTTGAAGGTTTTGTTCCTAAATGGGTATTAGAATACAAGAAGTTACATTTTACTGGTAATAGGTTAGGATATAGTTAAAATGATCCAAGATGATGAGGCTTCATGCAGACTATAGTAGTTGTGCATGCAGAATTATTTAATTGCGAGAAATACTGAAGTAATTTTTGGTATTTGTGTCTTTCAGAGGATGTCACCCCAATTCCATCAGACAGCACCCGCCGAAAGGGTGGACGCCGTGGACGACGTCTGTAAACTGTTCATTTTTTTTCTGTATCACTCAATAAAAACGTCAAATCCACTTTGCTCAGCTTTTCATGCCTTTGTTTTTGCACAGTTTATTCTCTAGATTTTCAGCTGCATTTCAAGGAAAATATTAATTTATGGATCAGGTGGTGTTCTCTTTCGAAGCTTACCTTCACTATGTGGGTTTTTTGAAAATGAAAAATTGTAGCAAATTGTGTATCTGAAACCAGGCAGTGAGCTAAAGTTCAATGTTGGAACGTTGATCGTCATAATGATTAGTAAAAACAAAAGGTAGAAAATTAACTGTTTAATTTCAAGTAATAGAATGACAGAACAAGGAAAGTAGATACTGCAAAGTGGAATACAGTTGTCTAACTTCGCTTTAAGGTCAGGTAGGTAGCTGTATTAGCATGCATAGACTGCAAAGGAACAAGTGAAAGTTTATTCCATGCTGTAAAGAAAACTCGGTTTTGCTGTAGAGCCTTCTTTAGGTGGGGAAGAAGGCTCTACAGCCGAAACATTGACTTTTACCTTGTAACTTTGCCTTAAGCTGTGCTAAAATCATTAGTTTTAAAGTCCAAATATAAACCTTTGTAAAGGCATCAACATGACTTAAGGCAAAGCCTCACTATCACTTGGAGTGGAGGTATCTAAGCATATTTTTCCTTGACATTTGTAGTCCAGCAGGTGGCACTCTTACATCTGTATTCCATTCAGGAATCCCCAATGGAATAACTTGGCATAATGGATTTAACCCAGGTGTCTCCAGGACTGGTTCTGTTCAACCCAATCCAGTCAGTTTTGTTACATCCGAAGTTCTTTAAAAAATAATTTTACAGTTACCAAATAAAACCTACTAGACTGGGGAACCCCTGATGAAGATGTGATTTGTACTTTTACCATTTAAACTAAAAGGCCCTAAATAAGTACAATATTGCTACTATTAAGGTGTCAGGTATTTTGAAGATCAGCTTCATGTAGATGCTGTTTTTCACATACAGTACGTGAGATTCTACCCAATTAATATTTGTTCCCATAGTGTCATGTTTTAGGACCAAATGAAAAAGAGGTTCAGAATCCCTTGTGGTTAAAACTGTTAATGCCACAGATCTCATTTTTCATAGTTAATGTTAAGTGAAACTCTTCAGAAGACTTTTTCATTTAATTGCACAAACCCCTTCTCATAAAAATAAACCTAGACCTGTGATTGAAAAGAGTTATTTTTTTATTTTAAGGTTTAGGTCATTTGTTACTTGCCGTGATTCGGGAGTAATTGCATCTCTTGTGTTGTTCAGTAAGTGTCATGATGTAGTTACATTGTGCTTCAGCAGGGACAATATATTAGCGCATCTGGCCATGAATCAGCCTCTTACCCTCAGTACGTTTCTCACCAACTGCACTCATGCTTTGATGGGAATTAGTCTCTGACTGGTTTTGTAGCACTACACTTGCCAAAATCTGCCGTTGGCAACCTAGTTTTCCAGCGGTTCTTTAACATTTATATATAATAGACAGGAATGGAACATTCTATGGTAGCAGTCAACAGTTTTGCAATTAGAGATATTTTCAGTTGAATGTCACTAGGTGGAGCTAATGTTTTTCTTCTACAGTGGCATTGAGAAAAGAAGTTTTAATTTTTAGTACTTTTTTCTCCTAATTACTGGCAAATTGGTCATAAACATTTTAAATCGTTAAATTTTGTAATTGCTAATAGTGCAAAAAAAAATCCTCACTCTTATAGTTTTCATTTTTTGTAATGGTAATCTCAGCTATTTAATCTTAATAAAAAAA